CTCCTCCTCCTCCTCCTTCTCCTCCTCCTCCTCCTCCTCCTCCTTCTCCTCGATCACCTTAACATGCTTCAAGCTTTCTGTAAACCGTCTCCTGTAGCCTTGACAGTGCCCTGTGAGAAGAAGAGGAGTTACTCTCTCTACTTTATGCGTGAGGACGTTGCGACCCAGAGAGGTTACATAGCCTTGTCCTGTGCTACACAACCAGGAGGGAACAGGACCTTTCTGTCAGGTAAAGGGATCAGTGACAGGGGAATGGGACCTTCAAGAGGTTCTCCCACAGCTCCCTGGCCCGACTCCCCTTCTTCCCTCAGCTTCTTGCATCAGAAAGATAGTTCTTAGGCAGACTTATGTCTCCCAGGCCTGGAAGTATCTTTGGACGACTCCTACTTAACCCTTTCCCATCTCAGTTCCTGCTTACTGTAGCTGCACAGCAGACTTCTCCTTGGCACCCCAAGCTCCTGCTACAGAAATAGCTCCTCAAGCAGCTCCTGTAGCCACAGCAGGGCCTGTGGTCTTGGTTTCTAAGAAATGCAGCAGCAGGGGCCCCAGCCTGTGTGCAGGGCACGTGACTTGCTGGAAGTGCCGCTGGGGGCGGGGTAGCATGGCCACAGAACCCACATCCTTGTTTACATCGGGGCAGGGGCTACCCCTTCCCGCCTTCACAGCCCCTACTCCTCCGCACCCTCAGGTCCCTGCACCCTCAAGAGGACTTGACAAAAGGCATAGGTCCTATTTTCTGTCTCAGAGCAGCCTCTTTCCTTTCTCACAGAGACCCTCCTGGGTGGGAAGGGGAGGGTGGTGGTAGCATTCTTCTGGTGATTCTCCACAGAATATCATGGCAGTACTCTGCAGTGTTCCCTTCAGGATCCACCTACCCCTGCCCCAGTGCCCCAGGGAGACTCCATCAGAGCAACAGTCCTCTGGGAAGACAAAGGGGAATTCCTTCTTCATTTAGCCCATGGATAGCAGGTGTGCCTCAGCTGCAAGCCCACTTTAATTTCCCAGGGAGAAGGCTCCCTGCCCTGGCTCCCCTAACCTGCCCCTCCACTTAGCACTGTTCCAAGTTTCTGCAGTGCATTGGGTCCTGAGCTGGGGGGAGGGCGTCTTGGATGTGAATTGCTTTCTGCCCTCATTGGGAGCCCAGTGCACTCAAGCAGGTAGAGAAGTCTGTGCACCTTTGATGAATCTGGTGATAGCAGTGCCCCAAGGGTCGGGTAGGCAGGAATTGTATTAAAGAGCACATTGGTATTTGACAATCAGGAAGCATGGAAAGAACATCCTGAAAAGAATGGAACGACCTAGGTCAAGCACTCCAAGCAAGGCAGAGGGAGGGATCCTGGGTCTTATTTTAGCCAAGTCCCACGACGCCTACACTGTTAGGGCTGTGACTGCCCTGAGTTCAGCTTAAGTTATATGTGCTGGTCCTCTTCTACTAGACTGTGTGCTTCTTGCAGGCAGTATTTCACTCACTTCTGTCACCATTGCAGTGCCCACACTCAGGCCTTATTATGGGGAGGGGCTCTGATTTACTGGGTGACTGCTGTTTTCCAAGCTCAGTGCTAGTCACTTTATCCTCATTACCTTACTCATCCCACAAGAGGTCTGCCAGAGAGTTGTCTAGCATGTTTCATATTACACGTGAGGCATATGAGACCCAGAACACTTGAATGACTTGTCTCTGTTTTTTTTTTTCCCACTAAAAAAGTTTTATTGGGCCCTCACTGGTGGTACAAGGGGTTAAAGCGCAGCACTCTGAAGGTATCCGCAGCCACTGCAACACAAGTTTGACCCCTGGCCAGGGAGCTGACCCACATGGTGCAGCAGACTTCTCCTGTCCCACCTGGTGCTCCCCTCAGCAGTGTACTTCAGTCAGTCCTCCTGGTCTGTTTCCTAGTCTGTCTTTGGTAAATCCTCTCACCCCCCACCCCAGCACCTCTGGACTGTACCCCAGTTCTTATATATGTGTGTATATATATATATATATATATATGTATGTATATATAAATCTTTTTTAAAAGTTTCATTTATTTGTATTTGCTTTTTTATTTATGTCTGGCCATTTAGCTCACTGCTACCTGGCAGAACTGGGCTTAGTGACCATTTTTTTTCTCTTTCCAACCTACAAAGGCATGTTAACGCCTGGGCATCAAGAAAACTGAATTCTAGGGTTGACTCTATCATAAATTAAATTTCTGTGTGACCTTGATTGAGGCATAGATTTTCCCTTGAGCCTCGGTGTCTTCATGTGAAGGGTGAGGGATGTGTATGGATTCAATGGTGTTGAGGCCACTTAGTCAAATGTTTGTTGATTTGTATGAGTGGTGAGACAGGCCCTAGATAAAGGCAGTCATCTACCTGAGAGACCTGTGCTTGTGTCCCTCTCACCTGTACTCTCCTGCTCTAGAAGATTAACCTTTCTTGTCTCTTTCCATGCCTCCACTCTAGCTCACAAGGTGAAGAACTCTCCCCATCTTGGAGTAGGAAAGGGAAGTTTCCCTGACCCTTAGCCCCTACCCCTGAGGATGTTCCATGACTCAGAAGTCTCCTCTTGTGACAGCTTTGACTTGTCTCTCCTTTTTTCTGTCCCTACAGCTGACCAGGTGTATGGAGACCAGGACATGCATGAGGTTGTGCGAAAGCACTGCATGGACTATTTGGTGAGACCTTTCAGAGGCCTTGGGGTTGGGGCAGGCCTAGAGAATCTTCTCTCCATATAGACCTTGACTCTTCCATCTGTTCTGCAGATGAAGAATGCCGACTACTTTTCCAACTATGTCACAGAGGACTTTACCACCTACATCAACCGGAAGCGGAAAAACAACTGCCATGGCAACCACATTGAGATGCAGGCCATGGCTGAGATGTACAACCGGCCCGTGGAGGTGTATCAGTACAGCACAGGTACTTCTGTGGTGGGTAGGTGAGCAACTGATGATGCGTGGTCTGAGTTTGCCCTACCCAGCCCACTGTGGATGGTCCTTCCTTCTCTCTCTTTGCAGAACCCATCAACACATTCCATGGGATCCATCAAAATGAGGATGAACCCATCCGTGTCAGCTACCATCGGAATATCCACTACAATTCAGTGGTGAATCCCAACAAGGCCACCATTGGTGTAGGGCTGGGCCTGCCATCTTTCAAACCAGGGGTAAGTGTGTGTCCACGTCCATGGTGACTGCTGGGTATAGAAGCTAGAAATCTCTGTTGGAATCTCAGTTCTGCCACTAGCCCACAAAGATGTCCAGTTCCCCCCAGTCTCTCCTCTGTGAAATCAGGGAGTTACCTAAGGTGATCTCAGGGCTCATTGTGTGGTTTCATTTTGCCTGTCTGAGCTGGCACCTGCTTCTTATGTGCCTGTGGAGGCTGGCAGTTTGGGATATGGAGTACATTTGGCAGCTGTGCGCCAAGGCTTCATCTGGGTATGTTGGCACCTACATGAATCCTCCTCCCAAACTCAACAATTACAGACAGCTGTGGTCACAGAGACTGGGATCGCAGACCTAGCCCACCACACTAGCTGTGGGATCTGGGGCAAAATGTACAAGTAGTCTAGGCTGTCAACTTGGCTGATACAGAGAGTGCCTAACACTGGGCTTAGTGCCCAGTAGATGCTCAGAACGCCGCAGTACATTTTCCCAGCACTTTTTGATAGATTCTCATTTTTTCTTTCATAGTTGTCTGCTGGAGACTTTGGTGGCTTTTATTCAGGTTTCACTTACTACAAACACAAAATGCTCCTGCCTCATTTTAGGAAATGCATACACCAACATATCCTCCAATAGGGGGATTTTTTGCTTCATTTTAAAAATACACTTTAAATTTTACAGCATTTTTAGATTTGCAAAATTACTACAATTAGAGAATTTCCATATACCCCACTATGATTAATGTGTTGGCATAGTACATTTGTCACACTTAATGAATCATATCAATGTATTAACTAAAGACCATGCTTTATTCACATTACCTCAGTTTTCCTTTGCTGATGTTCTGTTTCTGGAGACCATCCAGGATACCATACTACATTTAGTTGTCATCTTCCTTTGACTCCTTTTCACATTGACAGTTTTCTCTGATTTTCCTTGTTTTTGTTTTTGATCTGTTTATAGGCTCTTCAGTTTTCCCTTTTCTAAAATGTCTTATAATTGGAGTCATACAGTATAGTTTTCTGAGTAGCTTCTTTCAAGTAACCCTGTACATTCAAGAGTCATCCATGATTTCTTGTAGTTAGGTCACTTGTTTCTTTTCTTTTTGCTTTTTTAAAAAAGTGAATGTCTTAAGTTATTTTTATTTATAGACTTCATTTTTAAACAGTTTTAGATTAACAGAAAAATTGAAACACTAGTACAAAGTTTCGTGTGTCCTTCCAGCTGCCCTTTGACTGTTAACATCTCAAATGCCTGTGATGCATTTGTTACATGTGAATCAGTACTGATACATTATCGTTAACTGAAGTTATGTTTCTTTAGGCTCCCTTGTCTGGTTTCTCACACTTTTGTGTTTTGGATGACCTTGACAGTTTTGAGGAGTTCTGGTCAAATATATTGTAGGACGTTTCTCTTTTGGAATGATTAGTCTGGGATTAGGGGTTTTAAGGGACAAAGGTCACAGTGGTAAAGTAACGTTCTCTTCACATTGTACTAGCAGTGTATACTACAAACAAGATTTATGACTCCTGATGTTGATTTTCATTACCTGGCAGAAGTTGTGTTTGTCAGGTTTTCTCTACTTTAAAATTCTTTTCTAAAAAAGATTTATTTAGGGCCCTCCCTGGTGGCACAACAGCTTAGGATGCAGCACAGCAAGCTGGCTGCAGCCGCTTCATTGTGAGTTTGATTCCCAGCCCCAGAGCTGACCTGCATGGCACAGCAAACCTCTCCTGACCTGCCCGCTGCTCCCTTCAGCAGTGTACTTTGTCAGTCTGCCTGTTCTGTTTCCCATTCTGCCTGTGATGAGTCCTTTCACCCCCTGCATCTCTGGCCTGCACCCCAGTTCTGTATGCATAAGTAATCTTTAAAAAAAAAAAAAGATTTATTTGTGCATATAACAACTGGTGTGTAGGCCAGAGATGCAGGGGGTGAAAGGACTCATCACAGACAGAATGGGAAACAGAACAGGCAGATCTACTGAAACTCACTGCTGAGGGGAGCAGTGGGCAGTCAGGAGAGGTCTGCCTTGCCATGTGGGTCAGCTCCCTAGTCGGGGATTGAACTCAGGCTGCAGTGGTGATAGTGCTGAGACTTAACCCCTACTCCATCGTGGAAGCCCGAACTTTAAAATCATTCTTCCCTCACTTTCTCTCTATTGTCTTGTTTGGAAGAAAGTCATTCTGTACAGTCCACACTTAGGAAGTGGTGGGGGTCGGGAATTAGGCACTATCCTTGAAGGCAGAGTTACTGGGATTCTTTTACAAGAGAGATTTATCTGTTGCCCTTTATTATCTACATCAATATAGATGCACATGTCCATTTTATACTCTGGGTTATAATCCAATACTGTCTTCTTATTACTGCTGAAATTGTTCCAGTTTTTGGATAGTGGGAGTGCTCTTAGTTAGCTCCTGTATCTTTTTGATATATTTCCATCACTGTGGGTTTTTTTTTTCTTTTTTGGGGACAAGGGTATTTACCTTAGTGTCTGGCACTACTAGATGCTCCAAGTCTGTTCGAGCATCTTCTCTATTTCCTGCCGCGGCCCTAGTGCCAGTGATTTCTCCAAGGAGCTCCAGATTTCCTCAGTGGAAATGGTCATTAGATATGTGCTGAGTGTGCACCTCGTTACTCGAGTCTTTGCTTCTAGACCCTGTCACTTGCTAGCAAGGGGATGTATGTGTATATGCTAAGTGTATACACAGTTCTAGAAAGATTTCTTTTCCTAACCATTTTTATCTATATAAAACTACAATTTTTACCGATATCTGCAACTTGATAGGTACCTTATTGCTTCGATTTTGCAATTCCCTAGAAATAAATGGCATTGAGTATCTTTTCATGTGCTTATTTGCCATTCCTATATCTTCTCTGGTGAATTGTGTGTTCAGGGGTTTTGGGACCCACTTTTTTAACTGGCTTTGTTATTTATAACAGAGTGTTATATACCTTTTAGCCTGTTATCCATAGGTTAAAATTACATTTTTACATAATTACTTAGTGATACACACATTTGTATGTAGTATTTTTTTGTGTGTTAAAATAATGTTCATTTCACTGAATAATACTGATATTTATTTCCTGGAATTTGCTGTGTTGTTTTATAAAATGCTGTTGTATGAAGAACACGGCAAATAGTATGTGGAAAGCGACAAATAGCACTCTTGCACAGTGTTCCACAACTTAGAGCACCCCAAACCAAACTGATACTGCTCCCTTTTGTCCTCTTAAATGTCTGAATACTCACTTTCCCCTCTGCACACATAGCTCATTTCTCTTTGTCCCACCTAGGTATATATGTGGGGAAGGCCTCTCAGCATTAGGAAACTGAGTCATTGTTGTTGAGGCTTTTTAGAATACTGGCTGAGACTGGAGGGCACCTCATTGCCCCAGACTTAGTATCTAAGTTGAAGTGTCTTGGGGTTGAGAGCAGTGAGGCTTCTGAATGTAGGAGTTGGTCTGCAGATTGAATAGCCCGAGTCTACCTTGCTCCAGTCCCTGGTGAGTAGGCACTCTGCCTTGGAGGGTGCTTGGTAAGAGTACCTGCCTTCCTGCCTTTCTGGGCCTGTAGACCCACTCCCTAAGGCAGGTAGGGTCTTGATCAGAGTTCCGAGTGTCACCCCAGATCCCTGTTCACTCCTGTCCCTGCCCCTTGTAGTTTGCAGAGCAATCCCTGATGAAGAATGCTATAAAAACATCAGAGGAGTCATGGATTGAACAGCAGATGCTGGAAGATAAGAAGAGGGCCACAGACTGGGAGGCCACGAATGAGGCCATTGAGGAGCAGGTGGCTCGGGAATCCTACCTGCAGTGGCTGAGGGATCAGGAGAAACAGGCCCGCCAGGTCCGCGGCCCCAGCCAGGTGGGTTCTGGACTCTTAACTGACCTACCCAAGAAATTGCCACTTCTCATGGTCTTCCTCTAAACAGGCAGAAAAAAATTCAGTGGTTTTGACATTTGAAAAAGAAGGCAGCTCCCTGCCCTACCTGTCTTATCTGTCTGTCTGGCTATCCTATCGATTCTGTCTAATTTATTAAGATTTATTTTTATTTATTTATGCATACAAGAGCTGGGGTGTAGGCCAGAGGTGTGGCAGGTGAGAGGATTCACCAGAGACAGAGTAGAGAGCAGAACAGGTGGATCTACTGAAAACACTGCTGAGGGGGCAGCGGGTGAGGCATGAGAGGTCTGCTGTGCCATGTGGGTCAGTTCCCTGTCTGGGGTTTGAACTCAAGCCACTGAGACTTTAACCACTTGGCTACCAGGGAGACGGCCTCCCAGCCCTTTTTATACCTCATCTTGGACTTAGCCTTGACCTTGTACCTTAGAATACTCAACACCCATGAAGAACAAGTGGGTGGGAGGGTAGCTGCTGATGGTGACAGGTGGGGAGAGTTTCAGAAAGACAGGCTTTTGTTGAATGCCCACGTGTGGCTGGCTCTGTGCTAAGAATGTAAAATCAGGCCTAGTCCACTCTCCTTGACAGTCATAGCAGTGGGGTGCTTGAGCCTCAGTGAAGATAAACAGAGATGGGGGCTCTGGTCTGTCTCCATAGAAGAAGGCTGAGGCTTTTTTTTTTAAGTGATTTATTCACAAAACAACTGGGGCACAGGCCAGAGGTGGGGGGGGGGGCGTAGAGGGAATTCACCAGAGACAAAGTGGAGAGCAGAACAGATAGATCAACTGAAATGCACTGCTGAAGGGAGCAGCAGCCTGGACAGGAGAGGTCTGCCAAGCTGTGTGGCAGCCTCCCTGGCTGGGGATCAAACTTGTGCTGCAGTGGCTAAGGACAGCTTCACAGTGCTGTGCTTTAACCCACTGCACCACCAGGGAGCGCCCAGAAGGCTGAGTTGTGGGGGCAGGGTGGGGGCAGGGCAGACAGGCATTTCAGGAATCAAAAGGCATTTAGTGTGATTGTAGATGGTGGCAAGAGCTAATTCATTCACAAATGTGTATTGCAAGTCTATGCCAGACACTGTTCTCAGTGTTTGGAGGTACATTGGTGAGCCTGCCAGGCCAGATCCTTGTCCTTGTGATTTTTTTGCAGAGTTGAACAAAATGATCAAGAAACATGATGAATAAATTTGTTGAGGTGGTATGGTTGAAAAAAATGTGGAACAGGGTAATGGGAATGACTAGATCTTAGTGGAGTGTGTTCAGGTAGGCCTCAAAGCAGCTGAGATTTGAGCAAAAGCTTGTGTAAGGTGTGGCAGTTAGGTGCATGTGCCAGGAGACGCAGAGGCCCTGAGGCAGTGCATATGTGGTATGATTCAGCAGCACCCAGGCCACTGTGATGACCAGTGTAGTAGAAGATGAAGTCAAAGAGGCAATGGGGCCAGACTGAGGAGGGGCTTGTGGGCCTTGGGGAGGGCTTTGGCTTTTACTCTGCAGGAGAAAAAGCCATGGTAGTGTGGTAAGCAGAGGAAGAATGGGCTCTGACTTAGGAGCTCCCTGACTGAGCAGAATGGCTTCTGGGGGCAAGGATGGAAGCAGAGGACCGGCAAGGAGGAGGCTGCCGCAGCAGTCCTGGTAGCAGGGTGGCAGGAGAGGAGCGAGGAGGAGACTGATTCTGGATCTGTTTTGAAGGAGGATGTACCAGGTTCTAGTCAGATTGATTTGACAGGGTATGAGGCATCTAAAGGAGCTTACATGAGTCCTGTGATCTGTTGTGTGACTGGAAATGATGGGACTGGGACCTGTGTAGAAGATGTGTCACAGGATTTTCAGGAGGGATTGAGTTTGGAGATGGGGTAAAGGATGGTTGTGGCTGGTGTTTGTCCTTATCTCCTTTCCCACCACAGCCCCGGAAAGCTAGCGCTACATGCAGTTCTGCCACAGCAGCCGCCTCCAGTGGCCTGGAGGAGTGGACTAGCCGGTCCCCACGGCAGCGGAGTTCAGCCTCGTCTCCAGAGCACCCCGAGCTGCATGCTGAGCTGGGCATCAAGCCTCCTTCCCCAGGCACTGTTTTAGCTCTTGCCAAACCTCCTTCACCCTGTGCACCAGGTCAGTAACTTGCTGATGGGGTGCAAGCCAGGGTTAGGAGGTACTATCTTGGCACTGGACCCTGCCTCTGACTGTCCATCTGCCTCAGGTACGAGCAGCCAATTCTCGGCAGGGGCCGACCGGGCTACTTCTCCGCTCGTGTCCCTCTACCCTGCTCTGGAGTGCCGGGCCCTCATTCAGCAGATGTCCCCATCCGCCTTTGGTAAGCCTCCTCTGTCCAGGGGTGGGGCGGGTGGTAGCTGGGGAACTGGAGAGAGATGAAAGCAGTAGTCCTAAGAGGGGCCTCTGGAGCTTCTGGCCATCTCTTCAAGACAGAGTTTTTCAAACCCAAAAGATCTAGGGGATCTGAGTGAGGTCTTGTATCCCTGAGGGAGCTTTTTTCACAGAGAGGAGTGAGATGGGCATATCACCCAGGGGTCAGTGAAGGGGAAGAGAAGACTCCCAGAGAGTGTTTCTTCACTCCTTTTCCCTTCTTCCTGCCCAGCAGGTCTGAACGACTGGGATGATGATGAGATCCTAGCGTCGGTGCTGGCAGTGTCCCAACAGGAATACCTAGACAGTATGAAGAAAAATAAAGTGCACAGAGACCCACCCCCAGACAAGAGTTGATGGAGACCCAGAGACTGGAGACCATCTCCCAACCCCTACCACTCCTGCCCTCTGGGGCCGCGCCCCCCCCTTCTTTGCTTTCTTCCTTCTGGCCTTCTTCCTTCTCCCTTATCCCTTCTCTCCTCTCCTCTCTTCTTCTCTCTCTCTCCCCCCTCCCCCTTTCCACTTCCCTCTGGCTGACCCACCCCTGAGCTCCCTCTCATCGCTGCCACCACCACCATCACCTGTCTCTTCGCCAGCTGACGTGCCCCGTTGCCCCCCGCACAGCACCATCCCTGCATTCCACAGGGGACTCGGGCAAGGGTGCCGAAGGTAGGCAAGAGGCACACAGACAAACCAGCTGGCAGCCAGGCAGCCCCTGAAGAGAGACATTCAGTCAGAGGAAAGTCTCCTTGTCCCCCTCCTTTCCAAGACCAGAAAAACTTGTTACCCCACCTTCACACTGATGCCAGGGAGGTGGGAGACAGAAGTGGGAAACCCCCTTCCTAGTACCCCAAGAATGTTTGAGCCTTCAACGTTGAATTTTTTCTTTATTAAAATATACTTTTATCTTATAAAATCAACCAATCAAAAATGATGTAGACAACAGCATTGACTATGAAGGCGGCATCTCTCTGGTTCAGGAGCAGGCAGTCCATGGGGCACAGGGGCACAAAGATGTGCTTGCTGGTTCTGGCCTCCAGCTCTAAGGAGGGGGGCAAGTTGTAGAGTGAGCCGGGGTGGGCAGGGATGGCAAGTATCACATGGGCTTTGGACAATGAGACTCTGACCTCGCTGCATTCCTTTGCTTCCACCACCACCACCAGTCTCTTTGGAATCTTGGGGTGGGGGACATCTTTGGGAATCATGGCCGCCACCCAGGATTTGAGTGTGGGGAGTGGGAGCAGCCTCGGCAGGTCGTGCCCTGCAGGTGTTGACAAGATCCATCATCTGTAATGTCCTTGGCACAATAAAACCAAATGTCAGTTTCCCCTGAGCGCCTCTCTTCTCTGTGGGGCAGGGGGTGGGTGGGCCTCTGGGTAGAGGTGGTGATGGTATAGGCCTTGGTGTGAGCTCCCAGGGCCGCATGCTCTCCAGTAATTTCTATTCGGGGATGCAGAATTTGTTCATATTTGATCCACTGCTTATTAAATCTCCAGGACCCATGACCCAAGAAAGCTGTCTACCTGTTGCCCTTGCTTCAATACTGAATTAGCCTGCCTACCCTAATACTGGGATGTGTTGGGAGGAGAGGGCTGTGAGCTTGATAGTAGGGACTGAACTTACAACGTCTCTGCCTGCCTCTCACCCCATAAATATATGTTCTTCCTTTATGATCATTGATGAGGAAATGCTTTAGAAAGGTACAGTGAATGCGTTATCGCAACATGAGTTTAGTGGAAGTAGCCAGAGGAGCTTTCCCTCCAGCGTTTAGAGGCTGAAGAACAGCTGAACGCTTTCATTGTTGTCCATGTCCTCTAGGCCTCCCAACACCTCTATCCCTGCCCTTCCTGCCAAGGAAACTAAGGAAGAGAAGGATGGTTAGCCCCCAGGTTTTGGCAATTTTTTTTTTTTTTGCTACAGTGGGGTCCCTGTGGAAGGATATGTGTGCCTTGACTTTACAGCTGAGGGCATGGCTGTTTGTGGGGTGTCTCTGGAATCCCTTGGTCAAGCACATGCATTTTGGAGAGTTGGCTTGACCCTGTCCTCTGCTTTTTCTAGCTATGTGGCCTTGGTCAAACCACAGGCTGAATTTCAATTGTTTGTCCTATGTGTACAACAGTGTCATTTATGTCTATTTCATGCGTTAGTTGTGAGCATCAGAAAATAGAATGCTTGAAGTCAACATATATGATAGCACAGTGGTTGGCACAGTCTGCAAGCTCAGGTGCTGGCAGATACTGTTACCCTAATGCTGAAGTTTCTGCACCATTTGACCCCTCCCTCCCTACGTTTTACTTGCATCTGCCTGGAATTTGCCCTTCCCCTGTCCCAGCCATCATTCTTTCAAGATAGGTAGAGGCTCATGAGAGAAAGTCCTATGACCCCATCCAATTTCATCTCTCTACAAACATGTCTCACTCCTTTCCCAGTAACTGCACTGTGAACTTCTGGACAAGGGCTGTGATGCCTGACTTATCTGTGCATTTCTAGTATTTGTATCCCTACCAGGACCTGGCGGGCTTACAGTAGACTCCTAATGTTAGCTGAATTAAGGGAGAGTATGTGCGTGTTTGCTTTTTGGGTTAACTGTGACTGGTGAGTCCAAGTCTTCACGTGTATCTCAGTCATGTGTGATGAGGGCTTGTTTCCAGGTGTGTCAGATGGGCGCTGAGTGTGGGACTCTAGCTCTGACAGTTTGTGTCTGTTTCTGAGACAAGTGCATGTCTGCGTGGGTCTGTCTGTGATAGTGCATCTGTGGCTTGTTTCTCATGGTATGCATGTCCGTTTGTATTCCTGTGACAGATTCTGGGTAGCTATTTCTGGAAAGTTTGTGACAGTGTTGCATTCTACTGATGTGTGTGTGTGAGAGAGAGAAAGCGACCTGGTCTGTTGAGTCTGTGCCACTGTCTAGGTTGCTCTAACACCTAAGTGTATGTCTGCCTTTGGAGCACTGTTTGTGTCTGGAGCATCTGTGTGTCTTCTAGCGATGGATACTGGATCTCGTTTTGGGGACAGTATAAATAAGTCTTTGTGTGACAGTGCATGTCCAATGGTGTCAGTGTCTTTGTGACAAATTCTGGCGGTGTATCAGAGGACATTTCTGCTTATGCTCACATGACTAAATCTATGTGAGTGGAGTGCCTGTCTTTCTGTAGCAGTGTGTCTCCCAGTGTCATTTTGGGACTTAACTTTTTCTGTCAGCATGCCAGTGAGACAGTGGGTGTCTGCATATCTGTCTGTGAATGTATCTAACATGACTGGTTTTATCTATCTCACATGGTACAATAGTTTCCCCTTTGGGGATTACATTCCAGGACACCCAGTAGAAGCTTGAAACTGCAGATAGTACAAAACTATGCTGTTTTTTTCCCATGCATACATGCCTGTGATAAGGTTTATTTTGAAAATTGGCACAGTAAGAGATTAGGAATAACCAGTAATAAAATAGAACAGCTATAACTATTCTATAATAAAAGTTATGTGAATGTGTACCCACTTTCAAAACACTGCAGACCGCAGTTGACCAAGATAAAGAATAAGGGGTGTGGGGACTGCTGTATTTGTGTCTTTTGGAGTACAGGTCTAACCTCCTGGGATGTGAGGCCTCTCTATTTTTTCCAACTTGGTACTCTTACCATCTTTTTAGCAACCCCTGTTCTAGCGCTCTCAGTGCCTGTCCCTCTCATCTAGGACACCTCAAGCCGTTGCCACTCTAATTTGCTCCCAATCCCGCCACTCCAGATTCTAGACCTGCTGACTGGGCTCTTGGCCAGGTCTAGCCAGGTCTGTCTAAGGTTAAGGACTACAAAACACCCCACAGGCTGCTGCCTCCGGGCTTGGCATGCTGCCCTTAACCAGTGGGTCCTCGTCCTCGGCCTGAGTGTAGGGGACTTATCCCTTCCTGGAAGCTGAATTGGTTCTTCCAGGATCCTTGGCTTCAGTTTTGGGGCGGGGGCTGTCGGTCACCTGGAGGGCCCTTATGGTCTTAGGGCCACAGGCTCTGATTCTTAGAAGCTGGGCCTATCTCCGCGCTAATCTCAAGGCAGCGGCGGCAAACCAACTTCCTAGAAAAGGAGGCGGTGCAGTTTTTTTTTTTAAGTTTATATCTATATATACACATACACACATATATTTAAAAAAAAAAAAAAAAACTCTGCGCAACAACCAAAACATGCGGTTGCTGCAAAGGGATTCCCAGAACCAGTTTCCTCTTCGCGCGCACCCCCTTCATTTGCATCCAGGCCCCGCCCGCGCAGAAGATCCGGGCATGTATTTGCATAAGGGGGCACTTGAAACGTTGAGGGTGGTATGCAAATAAGGGTTGGCTCTGATTGGCTGGGGTACAGCAGGTGCCGCGTCCGGATTGATCAAAGCCAAATGGGCGGTGCCGTCGCTGGGGCGACTCTCTCGGGAGGCGCGTGCCCCGGCTCAGTAGCGTTGGGCTGGCGCACGCGGCGAATCTAAGTCTTGCGCCGCTTGCAGGCGCTTCTGGGCCACCAATTTCTTTTCCTTCCACCCTGGCGCCCCCCAGTCCTGGCTCTCCGACCTCGCTGCCCCGGGCACCCACGCCCTGCGGGCTCAGCGGGCTCAATCTGCGCAGCTCCTCCTCCATGTTGACCAAACCTGTGCAGGGGCTCCCCGCGACCCCCACGCTACCGCCAGGTGAGCGATGCTCCCCCATTGCTAGCAGGCCGGGCTGGCTGAAGTGGCGGGAGGAGCGGGGGGAGGGGCGCAAGGGAGGGGGTCATCGCTGGGCTTAGCACACCGCCACCCTGACTTCCTCGCCTCCCCCTGCGTAGGAGGCAAGGATCGGGAAGCGTTCGAGGCTGAGTACCGACTCGGCCCTGTCCTGGGTAAGGGGGGCTTTGGCACCGTCTTCGCAGGACACCGCGTTACGGACCGGCTCCAGGTACCCACCACGAGGGTCTTGGGGGAGGGTCAGGTGGGTGGTAAGTGGCGGGAGCGGAAGTCCCGGGTTTGAGATGCTAATTGACCGGGGAGCAAGCTTGCTATGTGTTTGTAGTAGGGTCATGAGGACCACGCTTCGGGTTGCTGTGTGCGCGCACGTGCGCGCGTGCTAGTCCAATTAAATTTGTGAAGAATAAGGGGTGGGGGGCACATGGAAGTCCAGGGAGGTGAGACTTGAGGGCGGGGTTCACGAAGATTCTACACCCTGAGATCGGGGGAATGTTGTATGTGTAAGAAGGTGGGGCCCAGAGCTGAGATTGGAGAGATTTTGGACTCAGGTATCCTGCGTGGAGGAGGCATGAGATCCGGGATCCCAGTACGGAGTTGGTCTGGTTGAGAAGATTCGAGGGCTTGAGGCGTGAGGATATTAAGAACTCAGCATCAGGGTTGAAGGTTCCCGAAGCTTGATAAGGGAGAGCCCAGGGCTAAAGATGGTTAGGGCTAAGGATGGTTAGTGAGAGAGGTGAACTTGGTTCTCAGAATTGGAGGGCAGAGGAGCCCCAGGTTATTATAGGTGGCCGTATGGTGGAAACCAGAACTAGGGCGAGGGTCAAGACTGGGAGGGATCAGGGGGTCCTCTACTGGACCCTTCATTTCAGCGCTCTTCTCCAGGTGGCCATCAAAGTGATTCCCCGGAACCGTGTGCTGGGCTGGTCCCCCCTGGTGAGTATCTTTGGAGTCCTTACTGACCTGGCGACGCCATTTCTGACGACAGACGCCCCCCTTGCCTTTCAATGGCTTGTATGACTCTGGGCCCCATAACGGTGAGGAGATCACTCCTACCAAGCCTTGTTTACTCCCCTGTGGTAGCATCCACACCTCCATAGGCTTCTGACTCACCCCAGTTTCCCTAGAGCCCTGGATTCTCCCCCTCCCACCCTCCTTTCTCTCCCTACCTCGAAACACTGCTTCAGGGGCTGCCCGCAGGGCATGCTGGTGGGGAAAGAGGGGCAGAGGTCATTGGTTGCCATAGTGACGGTGGCTGCTTCTCTGCTGCCGTTAAGAGCGCCAACGGACAACAGGGCGGGTCTGGGCAAGCTGGGGGAGCAGAAGCGCCCCCTGGTGAGATTTGAGGGGACTGCTCTGGCCTTGGAGCCCTGAGGGAGAAAGCGCGCGCCTGCTCAGTAGCGAGACCTTTACCGTGAGAAAACTCTTCTGCGGCTGTGCAACTCAATGGGCTGGCCAGTAGAGGGCTCCACCTCGGGCAGAAGCCGGCTTCTGGCAATCCATGTTCCCGCGCAGGATTTCTACAGCCGGTGGGCTTTTGTGGCCCATAGCATTTATGCTCCTTCCTGAGTGTCAATTATATGCCTCGGACTTTGCTTCATCACAAAGGCGTACCATGTTCCAACTCACACTAAGTAATTTTCAACAGTTCTAGGTGCTTGGTGGCAGTGAAAGTGCCATATGGTAACAGTCCTTTGTGCCAGTTCGTTCATCTCATTGACAATTGAATGTAGCGAGATTGTTTCTACTAAGTCCTTTTCTACTAAGTCCTTTTACCTATTTAACAAGTATGTATCGTGCCCTCCCTTGTTTATCAGGCACAATTACACTATTGTGCTATGTTGGTGAACAGAACAAACCACTGTACAACTGTATTTCTTTATTGAGTGCTCTTGTCTCCTACACTAGAAAGTGCTTTCATCTGCTTAACATTTACTGTGGACCTACTATGTGTTGTGCAGAAGAAGAGGGTTGCTCCAGGCCACATACTCTGGTAGCTAAGGGACTGTGATTTTAAGTTCAGGTGCGAAATCAGCATCAGAAGTACTGATCCTGATAGCTGTTCTCTTTTCTCCCTGCTTCCCCCCACAGTCGGACTCAGCCACATGCCCACTGGAAGTCGCATTGCTGTGGAAGGTGGGTGCAGGTGGTGGACACCCTGGTGTGATCCGCCTGCTTGACTGGTTTGAGACACCAGAGGGCTTCATGCTGGTCCTTGAGAGGCCTTTGCCGGCCCAAGATCTCTTTGACTACATCACAGAACAGGGTCCTTTGGGTGAAGACCGAAGCCGCTGCCTCTTTGGCCAAGTAGTGGCAGCTGTTCGGCACTGCCATGCTCGTGGAGTTGTCCATCGTGACATCAAGGATGAGAATATTCTTATGGACCTCCGCCGGGGCTGTGCCAAACTCATTGATTTTGGTTCTGGTGCCCTGCTTCATGATGAACCCTATACTGACTTTGATGGTAAGGCTCTCCTAAATCTCAGTGGGGGGATTTTTTTTTTTTAGACCTTTTCTCTTTATAACCTTTTGACCTTTAGGTACCAGTGCTAAGGTGTTCTTATACCCCTTGATCTTTATTGTACCCTTAGACCATAATTCGTTTCTAATATTGGGGGCTCTCAAGCTTTGCTCTCTGATCAAGTCCAGTTTCTGACAGTGCCCTCACCTTGTCTTGGGCTCTTGTTCTGGTGTGGGGATACTGTTAGCCCTGAGTGTTCTCTCTCCTGGTAAGGGAATTGTACTGTTTTGATGTAGTCAAGGGGGCTCCATCTTAATTAAGGCCTCTTTCTCTGCTGTTATATTTAGAGTTCCTGTTGTGATAAGGGGACCATACTTCCTGATGGGAGGACATTAGCAGAGTAGTCTAACCTCTGGCTTGCATGCAGGGACAAGGGTGTACAGCCCCCCAGAGTGGATCTCCCGTCACCAGTACCATGCACTCCCGGCCACTGTTTGGTCACTGGGTATCCTCCTCTATGACATGGTTTGTGGGGACATTCCCTTCGAGAAGGACCAGGAGATCCTTGAGGCTGAGCTCCACTTCCCGGCCCATGTCTCCCCAGGTGAGGACTGATCTGAACCCAGAAGATGCTACCCTCTCAGGGACTGGTACCCCCCAACTGACTGTTAACCTCTTGTGCGCTTCTGACCTACAGACTGCTGTGCCCTAATCCGTCGGTGCCTGACTCCCAAGCCCTCAGGCCGACCCTCACTGGAGGAGATCCTGTTGGACCCCTGGATGCAGGCACCAGCTGATGATGCTGCCCTCAAGGCCTCCAAAGGGGGTTCCACCTCTTTAGCCTGGTCCTTGCTGCCCTAGTCCTGGCCAGGCCCCCAGTAGTTGGAATAGCCATCCCAGCTCATGCCACAGGGATAGATGGACATCTGTTGACCTGGTTTTACAGGTCATTACAAATCCAGTGTTATTAGGGTCAGATTGGGGATCAGGGGTCAGAAGACATAAGCCAAGTCTGCCCAGTCCCTATCCCAATCCTTTTAGGGAACCTTCCTCCCAGAACGTGTGGTCTCTTATTCTGGAGGGGGGTGGAATTTCCTTACTTATTTTGCTAGGGATGTTTATTTTGTTGAAGTTATTTTCTATTCTGAGCCCCAAGACTTGTTCTGTTAAGTTGTAGTCCCCTAGATTTGCACCTCCTGCTACCACCACACAGATTTAGTTCAAATGCTCTGACTTGGGCAAGGGTGCTTTCCTTTTAATATCCCAGCAGCTTTTTTTTTTTTTTTAGTATAAAGCAAAGGGACCCTTTATCTTAGTTTAAGGACACATTCAGTCAAGCTGCTCACCTACCTCAACCCAGAATGGTTTATTCTGGGAGAGGTAATGCCCTATTGTTAACCCAGGGCTTTTTTTTTTTTTTTTTTTTTTTGGTTAGGGGAGCGTAGTCTGTTATCCCAAGTGCTCTTATTCTGGTGAGGAGAACCCTGCTTCCATGGTTAGGGAAGGAATGGGAGATGGACACCGCCAGAGTCCACTAGGATGGGGTGGATCGTTTTTTGGAGGGATGGGGTGGGGAAATAAGTTTTATTGTTTGTTCTGGGCCCTCCCCCCTCCACCTTTTTTCAGATTCTTGCTGCCTCCTTCTGAGCCAGGATTGTCCAGTTGCTGAAATGTAAATACTTATGTATTGGGGATGGGAGCTCCAACTGTCCTCTCCCTTCTCCCCCTGCCTGGATTATTTAAAGCCATGTGTGGAAACTCACTATTTAATAAATGTAATAGAATCAGAAGTGACTGGCCATTTGTAGATGCAGCAAGACATTTGTGGAGCATCTACAAATCTTGGCCTTTGCTGAGCCAAGAGGGAGATAAATGGACTGAATCTCTCCTTTTCCCTCCAGAAGCCCCTGTCTTGTGTCATTCTAAAGATCTTTTATGGGTTCAAGCAGAACAACAGATTTCTTCCCCAACTCTTAGGTAGTGCCCAGTGTCAACAGAGGGCTCCATTAATTGTGGACATGGAAGATGCTTGGGACACATCCCCAGAAGTCCAGCTCAGAGGCATGAGTCTTTTCTCCCAGTCCCAGGGCAGGCACTCAATCACTTAAAAATGTTTTGTGGGGGGAAAGGAGGGAACTTTAAGGGAACTGGCACTGGCAGGGCAGGGTTCAGTGCAGACCGGCATCTTCCTTGTGTCTAAAGTCCTGGGTGTAGTTGCCCAGTTTCCCTAAATTTTTAACCTCCCGTTCCATCTCTCCCACATCTTGTCCCATCCTCAATTGCACCCTCTTGCACTCTCTTTAAAGCTAACCTGTAATTCTCTCACCTGCAGGCCTGCATGTTCTCATTTCTGCATCCTAACAGCCTATGCCTTTGCATTTTTTCCCCTGAACTCTGCTTTTACACACTAGCTTAGCCTGTTGCTTCTTCCATTACCCTCGTAACCTGTTGCCACTCCCAGTTTAATTTACTTTACAGATGCCCGCGAATTTATGGGGGTGGGACGAGGAGGAAGGGACTTAAGTGCAACTTGGAAAGACTTAGTTGAGATGCAAAAGGGCAGGTGAAGGGAATGCCATTAAAGAGCCCAGCAAGGAGGGGGACCGCTCAATCTGATGAGAGGACGGGCGGGTGATGCGGGAGCGGGGCCAAAGACGAGGTCGCGGGCCGTGGAGGCTGGAGTTGGGAGGCGGAGCCTGCTGGGTTTCCCCATCCGGAGTAAATTTGACCAGCCTGAGGCTGACACTCAGCCCCGGGAAGCGGAGCAAGTCCTCTGCTCTACCGGCCCGGCCCTGCCCCCGCCCCCCCCCAAATTGGAGGGGCGGAAGCGGAAGTGACGGGCGCGGAAGTGGACTGTTGCCGAGGGGACGGGCCAGGCAGATGCCAACATGGCAGCGGTTGGGTCTGGTGGTTCCACGGCTGCGGCTGGGTCGGGGGCGGTCTCTGCGGGGGCGTTGCAGCCTGGGACCACGAGTGTTGGTGAGGATGACTGGGATGGTGGGGCGAGGGGTCGTGATGGCTGTGGGAGCAGGGAGGTTCCTCACAAGCGACTGGGAGCATCCGGTATGGACCAGGGTGGTGTGAGTGCGTGTGGCAGGGGTGAGGTCGGGTAGGGAGGACGAAACGGGCATGGTGTGTTGGGGGCGGGGGAGAAACCATTCGGAGGGGGAGTGGGGGTCCCGCAGTACCCAAGGGGAGGAGAGACCGTTCTGAGTCTGATGGCGCGTACTTCCTTGTAGGGAGGCTACGTCCATTCTGAGTGTGTTTGGGGTCTGTCCTTACAGCACGGAGAGGCCATTCTGAAGATGGGAGAATTGGTCTTTTGCCATAGGGAGAGGGTGTCCTGGAGGTGGTGGTTTATAAACGGGGCAGTTGTGAGTTAGGGTGGGGCTGGAGCATAGGGATTTCTTTCCTTATATAGGGAGATTATTCTGGCGGGGGGAACCCTTCATAATGGAACTAGGGTTCATTGTATGTTGGGGTATAAGGGTCTTTCCCTCCTTATGTGGCAGATAAAGGACGTGGGGGGTGTTCCTTAAAGTGGGAAAGAATTCATTGTGAATGTGAATAAATAGTTCCTTGACTGGACATGGGGGTTGCGGTGGTGAGATGACTGACCAAACACCCAGGCCACTCCTGGTGGGTTCAATCCTCCGGAAACTGGAGAATGATATATTCTATATGCTAGACCATTCTGTGTCAAGAGGAATTGTTCTTAATAGGAGGGCTTGGAGAGAGCAATATGAGGAAATGGAATAATTTCTTAGATGAGAACAAGTATTCCTTAGGGGACATGTATGCCTTATACGGTGGCCTCATCCCTTGTATTGGGATATCATTTTTACATATCATTAAATATCATTTCCTAACAAATCTGAGGGTTGTTTATCCATAAAATGGGAATAGTTATAGTTACTTCTAAGCTTGGAACATTACACGGATCTGTTGAGGTAATCCATAAGAATCCCTTAGCCCAGTGATAGGTACACAATCAGCGCTCAATGAATACCGAGAATGTGCTTGGTATTATGTGTGGGGGAGAATTCTCACTCAGGAGGAAGCAAGAGGGCTGGGGTTGGGTTCTGGGGCCCACCCCAGCCATTTCTTTTTTTTTTTTTTTAAGGATTTGTTTGTTTATACATACAGAACTGGGGTACAGGGCAGAGGTGTGGGGGTGAAAGGATTCACCAGAGATAGAGTGGGGAGCAGAACAGGCTGGTTAACTGAAATACACTGCTCAGGGGAGCAGTGGGCAGGTCAGGAGAGGTCTGCCATGCCATGTGGGTCACCTCCCCTACCAGGGATCAGACTCATGCAGCTGTAGCTTCATAGTGCTGTGCTTTAACTCGCCAGGGAGGACCCCCAGCCATTTCTTAACACCTCTCCAAGGATTCCAGGTGTGGGCTGGTCAGAGTGGGGCCCACTTACCTCTTCCTGACTTCCTGTGGTGGAGGCCTTCTTTGGGTCAGGATAGGCAGGCAGATGGCAGGAAGTGGTATTGGCTAAGAGGGTCCAGGTTGAGAAAGGAGAGGGGAGGGTGGGGATGTGTCTGTGCCCCAGGAGCTTCTGACCTTTCTTCCCCTTGCTCCTTCCATTCCCTACAGCTCACCGACGCCTCAAATACATATCCCTAGCTGTGCTGGTAGTCCAGAATGCCTCCCTCATCCTCAGCATCCGCTATGCCCGTACGTTGCCTGGAGACCGCTTCTTTGCCACCACAGCAGTGGTCATGGCTGAAGTGCTCAAAGGTCTCACCTGCCTGCTGCTGCTCTTTGCACAGAAGAGGGGTATGAACCAGGAGGGGCTGCACTGGGGTCGGTGGGTGGGCCTCTGTGTGTGTACTCATGCCCAAGCACAGGGCTTGCTGGAGAAGTATCTCTATGTCTATGGCTGCATCCAGACTTTTATACCTCTAGCCCCTGGAGCTGGCCTGTGTGGACAGTAGGAGTGAGACAGTCTGTGCCCATGAGAAAATGGGTGACTCTGACTTGGGGATTGTTTATGTCTCTTTAATTTTTCATTACAGAGAACTTCAAACATAAAATCAGAGAATTTATAAAATAGTAAAATATGCACGTACCCATCACCCAGATTCAGTAATTATTAGCTCATGGCCATTTGCCATTAAACAGCATCAGTGGTTCTCTATTCATTACCAGTTTTGCTGTCTGCCTCCCTCTCTTCCCCAGACCTTATGCTGCCTGCCTTGTATATTCCACATGAAGTGAGGATTACTCTGAAGTATATCCCCCCTTATAAAGTAAAATTTTTGGCATGCTTTAAACAATAATATCTAAAAAGCATACAACAAAAACATTTAAAAAGTTGGAATTAATAATTTTACAGTTAATAAATAAAATAATCAAATATCCAGTCATTGTTCTAACTTATGACTTCCAAAATGTGAGTCTTTTATTTTATTTTTATATAGTTTACTTACATAGATTTTACAGTATTGTTTGTTCATTTTTGTACAATGTTTGCTTTCTCCTATCAGGTGTAGGCCCCATAGAATTCCCACAAAAAATTCGCCCACGCACCTTTGTGTGCTTCCCTCCCGCAGAGTTTTTAAAAGTTAGTTGGGCTCAGCTTTGTAGGAGGTTGCCTTTTATAATTGCTCGATGCCTTCTGAGTCTGCGAACCTCTGGGTTCTCCTCCAGCTGTTTTTTTTTTTTTTCCTCTCTGCAGTGAGTTTGTTGAAGAAATCACATCATTTGTCTTACAGACTGGGCAGTCAGGATTTTGCTGACTGCCTCCCTCTGGTATCATTTAACATCATCTGTTCTTGAACTTTCCTATAAGTTGGATTTATCTACTAATTTAAATACTTCCCAGAGGCTGTCTTCTTTAAAATATCGCCTAGTCATTTCTTTGTGAAAGCCTCACAGTTAGAAAGAGCACACATGCATCACTGGGCTCTGCTCTGTTCACTTCAGAAAACATCCTCACCCACTTGTTAGCTCCGGGGCCTGTGAGACAGCAGTGCAGGAGCCACCTGCCTGGTTCTGAGAGTAACCGGGGCTGGGGGCTGCTGAGGTTGCGGACGGTGCACCTTGCCCTCGGGACCGGTAGTTTAGATGGGAAGAAACATGACTAGAGACTTTGATCATGGGCCTTCACTTCTCATCTGCAACTTCAAAACCCACCCCAATTTTTTTTTTCCTGAACTACTTTGGTGGTAAAACTTGACCTGATGTAGGGCCACTTGTTTATTTGTAGTATTTTTTTCCCACTCAGTGTGAATATTTATACGAGTCACTGCAAAAATACAAACGTGCTCAGTAATGATGTGAGTCCCCACATACGAGGGGTATATTAGGTGAAATATGTGGTATATGTTCCCCCTTTCTGACACCTGGAAATTTTTGAGCACCAAAACCTCTGGGCCCAGGAAAATTAGTTAAGGGGCTGGAAGCCAGTTAATTACTCGTGGGTTAATGCTGTCAAGGACAAGGATGGGGTTTTGTGTGTGAGAATCAGCAGTTCTGCCATAACCCTGTGTGTGGCTATGGGATTTTCTCTGAGAGATGCTGTTCAGCTGAGACTCAAAAGAAGTGAGGGGCACATTATAAAGGCTTCATTGTATAAGAAAACATTCCTGTGTGTTGACTGGAGCAGGGCCTAGCTAGACATTTTTTTCCAAGTACTTTTAAAAGGACACTTATTAGGAAAAGGAGAAAGGAGAGCAGAGAGCTGCTGCTTTAGAGAGGAAAAGGTTTGTGAAAATTATGAATGGAAATGCCTGCGTAGACACAGGTGGAGAGCTCAGCTAGATGTTCTGCTTAGTAGTCGTCACACCTGCATTCTTTCATGCGGCAGGGGTAGCTCCTTGGTGTGTCCAGTGCTGGTGAAAAGATGCAACCAAATGGGAGATGGCCCCGCCTCAGGCAGGTTGCAGGCCAGGAGGAGCTGGGCTGGATTCCACCTAAAAGTCTAGTCAAAACCTTTTGCTGTTTGGTAAACAGCTTTCCACTCCTAGGGCTTCTACTCTATTAGCTCCCAGTTTGTGCTGGTTATATCATGGTATAAACACAAACTGCATGCTTGCCCTGAATGGGTCCCTGCCAGGGGGTATGGGATGAGTGGAATAAGGCCTGTGGCTATCAGACACGGTGTTAAGGATGATTCTTTTGTGTCTGTGAAGCTGAGTATCTGCAAGGCCTCCGGAGACCCGGTTGAATTGTAGGGAAACAGAGCATAGACCTCATTCTAGAGCATGGTAGGGAGAGAAGGAACCAGGCCTGGTGGGCTCAGCTTCCCATCTTAAGAGAGTTGGTGCTGCAGAGGGCTTTGTTGGGAAGCAATCTTCAAGTTGCTCAAGTGTGAGATCTCCTCTTTGCACTTCCCCACCTAGGTAACGTGAAGCACCTGGTTCTCTTCCTCCATGAGGCTGTCCTGGTGCAATACGTGGACACGCTCAAGCTTGCAGTGCCCTCTCTCATCTACACCTTGCAGAATAACCTCCAATATGTTGCCATCTCCAACTTGCCAGCTGCCACTTTCCAGGTGAGCTTCATGCCTGGCATAGTCGCTGAGAAACTGACGGGGCTGGGGAACACAGCATATTAGAGGGAGGGGTTCTTCAGGGAGCAGGGACTGTATCACATTTGGGATGTAGCTGGAGCCCCCTCCACCATAGTCTCATCTGTGAGAGAAGCAGGAATGGAAATTCCTACCCACTGGCAGTTGGGCTGATTAAACGAAATAATGAGCCCTGGCTTGGGATAGATAGGCTTTTGGCTATTTGCAAGCAGTCTTGTAAAATACTTTTTAAAGAGCCTGGAGTCTGGGGCTGGGCTGCCTGGGTTCAAATCCCATCTCTGCTCACTTTGCAGCTGTGTGGTGCTGAGCAGGTCATTTGATTTCACTATATCTTCGTTTTCTCATCTTTAAATTGGACATTTAAGTAGTGTCCTCTTTATATGAGCATCAAATGAATGACTTCCCATGCCCGGCAGGACAGTAAGGGCCACAGAAATGTTTGCTGGCCTGGTTGTGGCTGATTTGCGTTGACCAAGACCTCCATCACAGCCGACTGTTATTCACTACGTACTGTGTGAGGCGTTCCCCAAGCGTCAGCCGTATTTTACCAGGCTCAGACAAGGTCTTTGTCCCTCATTGCACAGCCAGGAGACAGGGTTGGGGTGTGGACTTGGGTGTGGCCTGTGGCTTCCTTGTACAGCCATCCTCCTGTGTATTTTCTGGGAGGCGCCTTGCAGCCATTTGACGACCATCTGGTCCATTGCCAGCAGGTGTTCTTGCTGTTCTGATTGCCGTCCACCCCACTCTGCCCCTCCCTGGAGCCTGGGGCCCATGGTGGGTGTTGCCTCCCTTGTGCACATGGTGGGGCCAGGGGCAGCCCTCAGAATCTTCCACATGCCACTCACAGGTGACATACCAGCTGAAGATCCTGACCACAGCTCTGTTCTCCGTGCTCATGCTGAACCGCAGCCTTTCCCGGCTGCAGTGGGCCTCACTGCTGCTCCTCTTCACTGGAGTCGCCATTGTCCAGGCCCAGCAAGCCAGTGGTGGGGACCCACGGCCACTGGATCAGAACCCTGGGAAAGGCCTGGCAGCTGTGGTGGCCTCTTGTCTCTCCTCGGGCTTCGCAGGCGTCTACTTTGAGAAGATCCTCAAAGGCAGCTCTGGCTCCGTGTGGCTGCGCAACCTGCAGTTGGGCCTCTTTGGCACGGCACTGGGCCTGGTGGGGCTCTGGTGGGCTGAGGGCGCTGCCGTGGCTCACCGCGGCTTCTTTTTCGGGTACACACCTGCCGTCTGGGGTGTGGTACTCAACCAGGCCTTTGGCGGGCTTCTGGTGGCTGTTGTCGTCAAGTATGCTGACAACATCCTCAAGGGTTTCGCCACCTCCTTGTCCATTGTGCTGTCCACTGTTGCCTCCGTCCGCCTCTTTGGCTTCCACGTGGACCCATTGTTTGCCCTTGGCGCTGGGCTCGTCATTGGTGCAGTCTACCTCTATAGCCTTCCCCGAGGTGCAGCCAAAGCCATAGCTTCTGCTTCCGCCTCTGCCTCAGCCTCCGGGCCCTGCACTCACCAGCAGCCTCCAGGGCAGCCACCGCCACCACAGCTGTCTTCCCACCGTGGAGACCTCAGCATGGAGCCCTTTCTGCCAAAGTCAGTGCTGGTGAAGTGAGGGCTGGCGGCAGTTGGGGGGGGCGACAGGGAGGGGGACTGGGTGGCGGGTGCAGGCCTCTGCTGGACCCAGGTGGGCATCGGGGCCTGGCTCCTCTGGGGTTGGAAGTCTTCTCCGAGGTTATTGAGACTTCATTATGGCAGGGCATCACGTGAACCCTTCCTTATAAGCTGACCCCCTGCCCGAGGGCTTTCTAGAACTGCCTCCTCTGCCTCTTCAGCTCTGTCTGGGGGCAGGGCTGGAGGTGTTTTCAATCAAGGCCTTTTTGTCTGCCCTGTGTGAAGATGTCCTATCTCATGGTGGGAGCAGGGCCAGCCCTCCAGCTTTGTAAGGATAAGTTGGACAAAAATCCTACAGCTTTTTAGTTATGACTGATGCCTACATGTGGGGCAATTTCCCATAACTGGCGGCCTCCCTCCCAACCACTCTGGATCACGTGAGCAGCTTGGCCTTTCTGTGGCCTTGGGGCAGCTAACCCTACACGGAGGGACCCTCCGACTGGGCCTTTTGTGAGTGGGTGTTCAAGCAGAGAGGAAGGGCAGGGGCATCAGCCTCAGGGGAGGGTGCAGTAGAGGCCTTTTGTTTTTGCTTTTGTGTGTGTGGTTTGGGGGTTTGTGGTGTAATCAGATGATGATCCAGGGTGTGGGGAAAGCAATGAGGAAAGACCCTTGGTTGCCGAATCTCAATGAATCTAAGCTAGGACAGTCAGTTGCTGTGTGCAGGGTTCTCTGCAACGTCCTGAGAGGACAGGGAAGCTGCCAACCATCCGATAACCCCACCGGCCCTGTGAAGCACCCTTACTGCGTGGGAGGGCATGTCTTCAAGTTGCTGAAATGTGGAACCTACCCCTCGCACCTCCCAAAGCTTATTAACCCCTTAACTGTCCCCCAGGAGTGTGTGTAAGCGTGCGTGTGCATGGGAGCTGCCTGGGCTGTCTCTGCTCGATGTAAATAGGGCAGTCGGATCTTTATTTTTGATTAATTTGTTCTGATTTTTTTTGGGTTTTCTAAGGAACTGTAATGAACAAGTATCAGGATACCCAATGCCAAATAAAGATATTGTATTTATTTAGTCCACGTGTAGCTTTCTGACCCAGGGACCTGCTCTCCGCGTGGGCTGTTACTAACCAACCCCAGGACTACCAGCCTCGCCACTGTTGCCCTCGCTTGCTCAGGACACCGCCTGCCAGCCCACCCCAGCTTTCTGTTTTTCTTTCCTCCCCACCCCCACCACAGGTTGCTCACCAAGGTGAAGGGTTCATAGCCGCTGGGATTGAAGACGCTGGCCTGGCCTCGTTCTCCCTTCTTGCTCTGGCCCAGCCGGGACCAAATACTCTGATCAGTATTAGGGGTGGGGGGAGGTAGACACTGAACCCCCTGTTCCCAGCACCCCCACCCCCACCTCCCAAGGGCTGACATGACATTACTTTCTGGTAATGAGGGCATGGAAAGACCCCCCACCCCAGCCTCCAGCCCGTGCTCCCCCCACACCATTTCGTAGGTGAGTTTTCACAAATAAAGTGTGTTTTGCATCTTGCTGGCTTGGGTTGGGGAGCCTCAAAAAGTGCAAGGAAAAGAAGTGTTCAAGCCTCAGTGCACATAATCCCCTGACAGAGTTTTTATTGAAAACCAAGGGACGGAGTGGCGCGTGGAGGCTCAGTCCTGCGGCTTGGTTCTGGAGGCCTCGGCGTTGGCCCGGAGCACAGCCCCCGGGGATGGGTAGGGGCGCTGCTGGAACAGGGGCCCTGCTGCTGTCGTGTCGGCGCCCGTCTTGGCTTCATTCCGCTTGGGGAGTCCTGTGGACCATGTGCCCCTGGGGGGGGGGACAGGGTCCGGAGTGGGGATGTGGGATGTGGTAGACAGCCCCCTCTGCTGATGAGCAGAGGCAGAAAGGGGCGGGCGAGTCACGAGGAAATGGGTTGGTGAGGAGCTGTCACTTACCGGGGTGCATCCGAGTATGAGCTGGGGTCCATGGGGTCTAGCTCATCATCCTTCCGGCTCGCTGCTGTGGAAGTAGTCAACATGGTGAGGTCTTCAGTGGAGGCACAAGAACCCCACTGACTGTTGAGCTCCCCCACCCCAAGAAGACACATTGCCATGCTCAGGAAGTGAAATGCCTTGCTCACCTCCCCCAGTCCTAGACCTGTTCCACTTACCCTTCTTGCTCTTGGGGTAGGGGGCCAGCTCCTCCCGGCGGTGGTGGCGCCGCTCCTTGGCCTCTTCCCGATCTGCCTTGTCATAACCCCGGTCCCGGTCTCGGTCCCGCTCTCTCTCTCTGTCCACTTTATCATAGCCACGCTCTCGGTCTCTGTCAGACTTCTCGTGGCTCCGGTCCGACTTCTCGTGGCTCCGGTCTGACTTCTCATGGGCCCGGTCTGACTTCTCATGAATCCGGTCTGACTTCTCGTGGCCCCGTTCCGACTTCTCGTGGCTCCTATCTGACTTCTCCTCAGCATCTGGGAACACAAAAACCGCAAGGTGACCTATATCCTCTCCCATCAGGACCCAGGAGTGTGTCATGAATGACTTTCCTGCTGGGGGCTGGGGTTGCGTGTCTCGCCCGCCCCTCCCTGATGCACTGGCATTTACCTGACCCATCTCTGAGACCTGCCAGAAGCACTCAAGGCTCCCTTGATCTGCCAACTCACCTGCGTTATTGATCCTGAGCTTCTTGGCAGATTTGGTAACGACGGAGTTGGGGTCATGTGGGGAGAGCCAGGACACGAGGTCTGTGTCCACATTCCAGTAGTAAGGGAGCCCGCTGCGGGGCAGTGGGAGGGAGGGAAGGAGTATCAGCACACATGTCTCTCCTTGTAGCCTTAACTCCTGTCTCCCCAACCTCTGCCTCTATCTGGCCCATGCCAGGACCCCACAGGAAGGACCTTCAGGATCTCTTCCCGTGTCCCCCATGTCCCTAGGCTCACCAGGAAGGGTCGAACACCTTGTACCAGCTGGGTGGCAGGCCCTCCAGCCGGGTGGCCTCATAGTCTACAGGGTCATCGTCATAGTCCTCAGCAATGATCTCTTCCTCTGGCTCTGGCAAGACAAAGGAAGAAGACAGGAGTAAGCACGGGGGACATGCCCACAGGGGCCACCTGGGGGGCTGGGGGCAGTATGCATACCTGCAACAGATCTCATCTGCCATGGCAGATACTGCCACATTCCAAGTCCAGATATATAAATACTGGGGTTTACCCAAAAAATTACCTGTATCTGTTCTGTTTTGGAGTTTAGAGAAGATGATATACTACTATTACTCATCCAATCTGGTTTCAGAGTTTTAACAGGGAATCATCACAGAACACACTCATATTTACTCAGTTCCTGAGTTCAGGTAGTATATGACACCAGGCTACCCAAATTTATTTGGATAAGTGTTTTTTGCAACAGCAAGGTGTTTATTCGAAAATAGGTCCAAATCTGAAGCTCCCAATCTTGGCAAAATAGGGGGTTTCTGTCCCCTGTATATTGAGGAGCAGGAGTTCGGTGTGCCAGAAATTTACTCAAACACTGTAAATCAGCTCCTGAGGCCTGCAATGTTTGTTTGTTATCAGCAGAATATAATTAAAGGTGTGTAATATCAGTGTAGTATCTGACCCTCAGTAAGCCTATCACAGATTTCATCTGTGAAATGCATCTGTACAGTGCCAGTCACACGGTAGGCCCCACAGAGATGTCAGCTCTAATTACCATTGTTAGTAAGAAATACCATCAGCACAGGGCCTAATCTCCCACGGGTTTAAAATATTAGTTATCATCGATATTATTAACTGGAAGATCTATGCCTAGCTTGCAATAAGCTTGTAGTAGATGTCAAGTATCAGTAAGGTAAAAATAGGATATATTTTTCAGTGTTTGGCGTAAGGTGGCCCAGAAGAGATGCTGACAATAAGTTATAAGTTAACAGAAGTTAACAGGCACTTAGTAAGCCTAACGAGGGTCTGCTAGGGCTGGTGAACAACACGGAATTTATCACCAGTATAGTGCCTGATTTCACCAGAAATAATAGTATCATTATAGTGAACAACAAAGTAGCAACCTCCTGACTTTATTTGGCACACAGGAAATTGCAGGCTCAAGAGGTCTTTATTGTTAGTTACTTTGTAATCACTTTCGCGGAAGGATGGATGAATTGAACCTGGCAAACAGGAGGCCCCAAGTAGGATCGACTGTCAGTATTAGGATGAAAATTGCTTGCTCTCTCGTGCCCCCCAAACCAGTGCTTGCCACGCGGTGGGTGGGGATTTGTGTCCAGGACCCATCAGGTTAACGACGAAATGCCTGCCACTGCTTATTGCACAGGAGGCGGTGCTAGGTATCAAGTGCCAGTACCAACAACCAGGCCTGTCAAGTCTGGCACTTGGTGGGCCCCTCAGCTCTTGGCTTTCTCACCGGGCTCCAGATGTTTGAGGATGCCTCTCTTGGCTAAGCGGGTCTGCAGTGCAACGGGCAGCGGCATGGCGGGTAGTATACAGACCTAGGTTAAGGACGCACAGACTAAAAACCAGCTCAGGTGATTCGAATCGGGATCATGTAACCCAGCGCTTCCTCCCAGTAGGCACTCCACTAGACCCACACCTAAACCCACCTCTTCTCTCCCCCACGCAGCAGCACTTGGGCGTGCCGAAAGGTGGAAGAGATAGGTGGTGATATCACCGAAACCTCACCAACCTTCTCGAGGATCCAGGACCCGGGGCTCTCCCACAGCCAGGCTCCGCCCACCACAAAAAGGCTCCCCCGCGCCCCAGGAATAGGTTAACCCAACGTCCCCCAAGGACTGCCGGGTGGGAGGAACCAATGTGCTAGGGTGGGGGAGGAGAGCGTAGCGCCCCCGTCCGTTCCAAAGTGTGCGCCCACCCCAACATTACCAGTACAGTCACGCACGCAGTGGAAAGCTTGCAGACCGGCCACTTCGCTCTTGCAGCTGCTACGGACACCGGGACACACGACTCTCCTCTCGCAAAGCACAGGAAGAGGTCTCTCTCCCCGAGCCTTGTGGTAACTGGGCGACGTTCGGGCTGCAGGGAGCAGATGCCGCAAGCCGGGGCGGCCAATGAGAGTATGCCATCGGCCTGACGTGTAGCGAAGTGACCCAATCACTGTCCGGAACTAGGTGGAAGGCTAAAGCGTCTGTGAACGTTTCAGTAGGGGCGTGGCCGGCGGGGCTCTGCCTGACTGCGCGGCCGGACGCCGGCGCCATGGAGGAATACGCTCGGGAGCCTTGGTACGGCGATGGGCACAGGCCTCGGGACTGGCCGCAGCCCCACGGCCGGCTGTGGGGGGCGGGCGGGGGTGGCACCGGCCACACAGCGCCACGTCGCAGACGGAGGAGGCGCTTAGAAAATGGTCTCCCGTTCACCTCCACTTTGTTCCTTCCACTCGGGCTCCGTTAAGAGGGGTCACAATGTCTGGAGGAGAAGGTGCAGCACAGGACGAAGCACTCCACGTCCCGCCTAACTCGGTAGCTGCAGTCCTTTGTTAATGAGGAGGCACAATGGTCGAGCCCATTCCGGCGCGGGGGTTGCGCTGGCGAGCGGAAATCCCCAGGTGTTTTTTCCCAGGCCCCTGTAGCGGGTGGAGGCGGGGCCTGGGTCGCTTGCTTTGGGCAGGATCCTCCCCACGGCCCGTTCTTGGTCTTTTCCAGTTGTGCCCCGTCAAAACCCGGAGAGGAAGGCGGGGCTTGGTTGGACGTGCTCATTGTCGGAGAAGCGGAGGGGGTGGTTTGCCATCCACCCCGCTGTAATAAACTAGCTAGTAATACTCAAAACATGTCAACTCTGCACGTGTGAATTCATTTCATGTTCGATAGTAGTAAAGCAGTCGACTGATTCCCGGGTTGACTGCAAAGTGGAAGCGCGGCCAGGATAAAGACCATTTTTTCACCTTTGCATTATTTCTTTTTTAATTAAAGGGGAAATTAATGGGACTATTTCATTATTATCTGAGTTGATTTGGCTTCTCCCAGGTGGAGAGTCTAAGTGACAAGGAGTTGGGGGCGGACAGGGGCTTGGGAGGGGACGTTAATCCCGGTCTCCCGTTAATTGCTTGCAGCCCCTGGCGGATTGTGGATGATTGTGGAGGAGCCTTCACTATGGGCGTCATCGGCGGAGGAGTGTTCCAGGCCATCAAGGGCTTCCGCAACGCCCCTGTTGTGAGTCCCCGCCTTCCCGGGGGGGGGGGGGGCCCAAGGGTCCTGCCTTGCCCCGCTGGCAGGCAGGATACATTTTGAAAACTGCTTGGGCTACTGACCACACGCACTTATCCAGCTACTGCATCTAGTATTTGGGACACACTGCAAATGTGGCCTCGCCCCCCCCCCCACCAAACTGGTGCTCCCCTGTGGAATGTGCAATGCTGTGCTGTCCAAACAGTAATCACTAAATCCTAACTGTGTGAGTTAAGTCAGACAGATTTTACGGAAAGGCAGATGCTGAGTCCAAAAGCAGAAGTGACAGTTTTGACAGCCTTCTATAAAGTTGAGAAGATGCTTTTAATTTTACGTAGTCAATTCTGTCTCTTTTTCTGAAAATCCCTTCCCATATCATCAAATGCCATGGTTTTACTAATTTTTTCTTGTCTTTCTCCAACTATATTTTTCTATATCTATTTTTGGGCATTTGGGTTGTTATAAATAGTGCTGCAGTACACTACTTACAATAGGTGAAACCTGGAAACAACCCAAACGCCCAAAACTAGATGATTGGATCAAGAAGATGTAGTATACATGCACAATGGAGTATTATTACTCCACAAGCAAAAAAGATAAACTCATGCCATTCATTGGGACATGGGTGGAGCTAGAAGAGATGGTGCTCAGTGAAATAAGTCAGAAGGAAAAGAAAAATATTGTCTGGCTTCACTTATAGGAGGAATATAGGGAAGCCAAATAGGACAGGGGAAAAATAACAATACAAAACCAAACCAAACAGGCAAGTATAAACCAGAGACATCCGGAAGGGGAGGCAGAGGGAGAGGGGAGGGAGAGGGAGAGGTGCGGAAGTAGGGAGGGTGGAGCACAGGGGACTGTGGTGATGGTGCAGGGGCGAGTTGGGGAGGAAATTCTATGGGGGCTACACCTGAGGGGGGAAAGTAAACATTGTTTTAAAATGAACAGTGATGTAAAAAATACATATCCATATATATATATACATGTATATATATAAATTTTTCCAAAAATAAAAAAATACTGGAAAAGGTAAAACAGAAGGGTTGATCTTATAAAAATTTTTGTTATTGTTAGCATTATTTATAAGTCAATTTAAAACTGTAAATATAGGGCCCTCCCTGGTGGCTCAGCAGGTTAAAGCACTGCACTGTGAGGCTATCTGCAGCCCCTGCAACTTGAGTTCAGTTCCCAGCCAGGGGATGACTCACATGGCTCGGCAGACCTCTCCTGTCTCCCCTGCTGTTCCCCTCAGCAGTGTATTTCAGTCAGTCTGCCTATTCTGTTCCCCACTCTGGTGAATCCTCTTACCCCTGCACCACTTGCCTGTACCCCAGTTCTTGTGTGCATAAAGAAATGAATCTCTTTTTTAAAAAAACTGTAAATATAAATATCTTCCACATATGCCCTTGTCATTTAAAATAAACTTCAGAAAAATATTTTTTAAAATAAAAAGAAATAGTGCTGTAGTAAATATAGGGGTGTAGGTGTTCTTTTGAATTAGTGTTTTTGTGTCCTTTGGATAGATCCCTAGAAGTGGAATTGCTGGATTATATGCAAGCTCCACACAGCTTTCCATAGTGGTTGTACCAGTTTGCATTCCCTCCAGCAGTGTAGGAGAGTTCCTTTTTCTCTACATCCTCGCCAACATTTGTTGTTGCTAGTTGTTTTTTTTTTTTTAAACTACATGTACTCTTTTTTTTTTTAAGATTTATTTATTTATTCGTACAGAACTTGGGTACAGGCCAGAGATGCGGAGGGTGAGAGTATTCACCAGAGACAGAGTGGGGTACAGAACAGGCAGATCGATGAAGTACTCAGGAGAGCTCTGCCTCGCCATGTGGATCTCCTCCGGGGCAGGCGGGGATCGAACTCATGCGGAAGTGGCTTAAGCTTCTTTGTGCTGTGCTTTTAACCCGCTATGCCACCAGGGAGGGCCCTGTTGCTAGTTGTTTTAAGATGAGCCATTTTCACTGGTGTGAGGTGGTATCTCATTATGGCTTTGAATTACATTTTGCTGATTATGAGGGGTATTGAACATTTTTTTATATGCCTGTTGGCCATTTGCAATGCCATGGTTTAAGTGCCATTTATTTGCCAAGCTCTCCATAACTGATATATCTAGGCCTGCCCCTCCCTTCTACTCCTGGAACTCTTTCCTATATCTTTGCCCCGATTTCTCTCCAACTCCTCCTACTCCTTTTCTTCTTCCAACTCCAACTCTCAGCGCCAGTGCCCATTCCTTAGAGGCCTTTCCTGCCCCCCTCAGCCACTGTTGTAGTTCTTCACCCTATTTCCTCTAGGGCTGTGTGAAGCCCTCTTGACAAGGGATGTGCTGGCCGCCCTTGCTCAAGACCTGGTCTCTGTAATGTGAGCTGAGAGGCTGGCAACCAGGTGGGCCTTGTTCCCTGTTCTGTCCCAGCATGGTGCCTGGCACATGGGTGCTCAGCAGTCATGCATGCATGCAAAAATGAGAACCCAGACTGGGTCTAAGAACATGCTGAGGTGCTGCCCAGCCCTGTAGCTCTGGGGTACTTCTCTACATGTCTACCCTGACCCCCCAACAGGTCTCCCACCCCAACCCTCTCTTAAAAGCTAGAAACCCTGTCTGCCAGTGGCCTGAACCCTGCTGACTTATCTTCTTGTCCCTGCAGGGAATTCGACACCGATTGAGAGGCAGTGTCAATGCTGTGAGGATCCGAGCCCCCCAGATTGGAGGTAAGAGGCTTGGGAGTGGGGGACCATAAAGGGTGTGATGGCAGTGTTGGGGGTGGTTGTTCCTTTGGGTCTAGATTGCAAGTTGAGGCTCCAGATTCCAGCCCGAGCTCTGCTTGGGACTTCCTGGGGCAGTGACATTTTCCAACAATTTAATAGGATTTCTGTAGCTTAAACCCAGGTGCTGGCACTTCCTGGATGTGTGGCCTTGGGCTAGTGGTCTAATGTCTGAGAATCTCATCTGTAATACGGTGATGCCAGTACGGTAACTACCTCTGTCATTTTGTAATTTACACAGTACTTGTAAGTGCTCTACTAAGCACTTTTATAATACTAACTCATTCAAAATTTCAGAAGGCAGATAACACACAGCGCCTAGAACAGGTCCTGGCACACAGTAAGGCCCCAGTAAACATTCTAACAGTCGTATTGTTTAACTTGCTTTCCTAACCCATTTTCTTCTCTCTGAAACTAAGATCAGAAGTTCAGTTCTCTGTGGTGGTCATGGAGATCGAAGTTGCTCTATTAAAGACATATGAGAGACAGCTCTGCTTATAAGCTCCCGCCAGGTACCCCAGGAATAGAGGGCAGCCCAGGAGTTCGCGCTCTGCCTTGGTGTCCAGGCTTCCTCCCCATTCTGGCCGGAGCATCCAGGCCTTGGAGGTCTCCAGACCCAAAGCCGTGGCTTCTCAGGATTTCGCAGGAGCACTAACTAGGTCTCTGTCCCCCTACAGGTAGCTTTGCGGTATGGGGGGGGCTGTTCTCCACCATCGACTGTGGCCTGGTGCGGTTGCGGGGCAAGGAAGACCCCTGGAACTCCATCACCAGCGGAGCCTTGACTGGGGCTGTGCTGGCCGCCCGCAGTGAGTGCCCTGGCCCCCAGCCCTCACCCTGTCCACCCTGTTCTGCCCGCCCTGACCTCACTCTCCCTGGCTCCTCCCTTCCCCAGGTGGCCCACTGGCCATGGTAGGCTCAGCAATGATGGGGGGCATCCTGTTGGCCCTCATCGAGGGTGTCGGCATCCTCCTCACTCGCTACACTGCCCAGCAGTTCCGCAATGGTGAGTGCCTGGTGGATGCTGGTCAGGGAAGGTGGGAGATGCTTGCCTTCCCTCCTCCCCTCACCTAATTCTTCCCCTCTCCAGCACCCCCGTTCCTGGAGGACCCCAGCCAGCTGCCCCCTAAGGAGGGGGCACCAGCCTCGGGCTACCCCGGCTATCAGCAGTACCACTGAAGAAGTGATGTCTGTGACGCCGTGGGAGCCCCCCCATGACCTACCTCCACGGGAGGGCTGGCTCCTGGCCGGTGCTGGGCCTTCCAGAGAGAGCCTCTACTCTGCCCTTGTCCTGGGGCAGGGCTGCGGCACCCCAGCTGCCGACAGATGGCTTTCCTTCTCTCTCAGGGCACCCGGCCCCACGCTCACATGTAACAAGCTCTGCCCAGCCCCTTGCAGTGGCGCCCTGATGAGCATTTAAAGCCGGTTTTGAAAGGCCTGTGTATGTACTCCTTGAGCCACTGTCCGCGGAGCCCACCCCCGCAGGAGAAGGCAGAGTCCTCTCCAGAGAGCCCTAAGCCCTGGGCCCGGGAGTCCCACACAGAGTGGACTTGAGTAAGCGTTTATGGGATGAGAGACAGGAGAGGAAAATGGAGCCAGTTGTGAACAGTATGTGACCGAGGGTGTGGGGTGTCGAGCGATGAGTCCCAAGTAGAGGGGCGGGTTTGGGAAAGAAGGAAGCAAACAAGGATGCTGGAGGGGAGGACACGATTCCGCACGGAGGACCCCTGGCCCCCATTTGCGCACACCAGCAGCCCTGACCCCACGGCCAAGGTGTGAGGATGTGACCTCACAGTCTTTATGGACCCCACCTGTGAAGGTCATCCCCTGCACGTGACCTCATGGTGGGCCTGGGGTGGGAGTAGGGTCAGGCCTGGCCTCCTCACATGACATGGTCTCCTGCACACACGCATACTTCTGCGTGGTGGTGTGGGCGTTCTTTAAAAGGGCAACCACAAATGAGTTTTCATTTGCGGTTGGGGGAGTTAGGAGAAAGAGGTTTTCCTGGGTGCTCTTGGGCTCTAAACATCATGTGGGTTCCTTCCTGCAAGCCTCCACCCCACATAGGTAGGCAAACATTTTCTCCACCCAGGGTACAGATGTCAAAGGGCAGCACAAATAACTCCTGAGAAGTCAGTCCTTCCTTCTGCACAAAATTTTCCAGAGAAAATGACCTCATTGTAAGGGGGGAAAAAAGCTTCCCCTTGTGCAAGTCATTGCAAAGAGGTGACGTGCCCTCTTCTGCCAAATCACGCCCGGACAGCAAGTGTAGTCCCTGGGCCTGCAGAGGCCCCAACCCTGCCCCGCTCCCTCCCCCGGTGCCCCCCCCCCCCCCCGCATCTTTGTCAAC